CAAAAAAGAAAATTATTCTCTTGACCTTTTTCTTTTTCTCTCACTTTTACATTTTCAATATGTGTACAGAATAGACGAACACGCCCGCACACTAACATGTAAGGTATGTTGTCATTTGTTATGTTGTTTTTCTTTTAGAGTCTGTTGAGTTACTTGTGAAAATATTTTGTTGTTGATAGGCTCGAACAATGTTATTATGGCAAAAATTAGATTTGCAGAAAAGATCATGAAATGACCCAGTCTCAAAGATTCGATATTTTTCAAAGATTTTACTCGTCATACACTTAAGAAAAAAATCTATGTATACTTCTTCGACAAACATTGTTTGATTGTTCGATACAATAGCAAAGTCTGAATACGAACTCGCTTCTCAACAATCAAACAATAGTTTTCAAAAAGAATACGTAATTTTTTTTCTTATTTAGCAGTCGAATAAAATCATAAAAAAAATTATCGAGCTTAACGAGATTGAATGCCTGCGGCCTTTTCAGTTTTCATAGACAATTATGGAATTCTTCTCGCACTAAACTATTGGGCACTGTTATTGAATTTTAATTGCAACAGGGATGAACTAGTTTAATTTCCTTGCGTTACATTAACTCATTTATACACAGCGTTACTTTCATTTACGGATGAACTACTTTTTTAATTCGAATATTGTTTTTCATATAACTTTTATTTTTTTCTAATAGATTTTAGAAAATTTTATGCTAAAACAATGGAAGCGATTTATATATTACATGAAAAAGATATGGATGCTCGTTTTTATGTTTATCTTAGGGTAATTTCATTTTATTGAATAGATAATGTAAAAAATAAAAAATTATTTCGAATGGATTCATAAACATAAAGCTCAATTACGTAGACAACATTAACTGCATTTAATGATACGACCTATTAAATGTTTACTTAAATATACATCAACAGCATATATTGATTATCAATTATTAATTGATTTATTGGATTAATAGTATTGAAAATTGTCTAGTAAGAAAGTGATTCCGACAGTATTAAGTACGTTTTGTTGTTATTGTTAAATTTTTGGTCAGAGTTCCTTGTTATACATCGTGATTATATAGAAAAATTTCAAGTTATTGAACTTTCACAAGAATTAGCAACAGCTCGAACACATTTAATCGTTTCTTTTCCTCAATTGTCTTGAATATATGTTAAGAACACCTAGTATGAAAACATTTTACTTATTCAATTAAGGAATATTCAAAGTTTATTTGATGTTCAACTATTATCATTAACAATTGATGGTAAAATTATTGACAGTTTTTGTTTCGAAGGAAAATAGAGTGAGTGTAAGTTTTAGAGATATGCTAGACGAAAATTTGGACGTTTGCTGAATTCTTACTCATCATATTTTCATTAGAATTTATTTCATATTTCTCAAGGCATCCTGATGGTGAGCGTTTATGAATAAGTCATTATAGACTTTTATCTTAAGAGTGGCAACTATGAAAGATCAGACCTGTATCCAACTAGCTCTATTGGGAACTACGAGAAAAGCAGTTGTTCCAACTGCAACTGAAAGTTATAGTTAAATATTCTATGGCTTTAAGTGTATAAGTAAAAAAACACGAATATTGAAAACCTTTTTAGATGTGATAAGAGTCAATTCTGGAATAGTTTTCTCTAGACGGAAACACACCCTCATATCCTTTTTGGGAGATAATAAAGGAAACTCACCCAAAAGAAGTATAGAGACTCGAGTATGGAAAAATATGAAACTCATAGTAATTTTAAAAGCTAAAAAACGGAGTAAAATCTAATTTCTCACGCATTTCTTATGGTCTAGTAAAAACTTTTCACTTCAAGTATTTTGTATGAATATAATGAGAGTAAAGAACATATGTAAGTTCTATATTTTAGTTCTTAACAAGTTGTATTGGCACAATCTCTATTTTTATTTTATAAAATTTTTCTTATTAAAGAAACTGAAAAATTCGGAATACTTTGTTCCATTGAAGGTCAAATACGTCAACATATATTTCGTGTTATTAATGAAAATACAAATACTAGTAGTCATAGTTCAAAATCTTATTTTACTGATTCAATGTCTTCACTATTATCGATTTCAACATTATCGAATAATACTCATCATCATGGAAGTAATAAAACTTATGTACTTTATCAGTTAGCTAAACCGATTCTCGTAATGTACAATTTTTATTTTAGTCTTCACTTATTCAAACATCACTTGAGAATTTAGACATTGGTTCAGATTTACGTTCAATTAATTGTCTAAATTTATTAGACTTCGCATTTGAACGGTTTGAAAATTTTCATTTTTTTTTAAATTAATTAATGTTGAAATTTCAGTGGTCTTCATAAAGCGAAGAAACGATTAAGTCTAGCTATTCCATTCAGTCCATGATTCAAGTAAATAAATGAGTGTATCATTAAGACAAGTAAGTATTTCAAATGAGAATTTCTCATAATTAAAGTAAAACATTCAGAAAATTTCGACTCATCTAACAACTGATAAAGGAATCGGAAATGCGTGTGCTCCCTAAAGTTCTGGTCTACTAGTGAAACTCATCGTGATATCTCATTAGTATCAGAAATAGCCAGAAGAGAAGGTATCGTACCAGCGACTAGTGCTTTAATAGAAAGATTATTTAGCTCAGCTTGATTAACATTGACTCAATGACGAATACGTTTATGATCAAGTCAAAATTTTCAAATATATTATTTATTCTTTCTTGTTGTCTACCTGTTGATATTGATTACATTTTGAATAATGAATATTTTGAGTTTTTGTTTTATTCAGCTTATGAAATAGTATGGTGACCGAATATTCTGATTGGTTTTTTCGTTGTTTTGAATTTAGTGATACTTAGGTCTGACCAAAAGTTGTGTCATCATTAAGTAAAAATATAAAGATAAGGAGATATTTTTAATTTAATTTTATCAAATGTTGAGGATAGTTGCCAGTATTATTTATTCCAAGATCAATCTTTTCTAGCAATTAATAAAAAGTTTTTTTTGAACTATTTTTGTGTACAATTTGTAGCTACCTTGGTAACCGCATGAACACATCATATTTCATTTATTTAATCGGTTAGACTACGTCCGACACAATCACTTAAGCATAGATTACATAGTATCAGGTCTGAGAAATATGATAGATGTGACATTATATTGATGTCTCCTTCTGTCAAATAATTAATAAAATTGGACGAGTATGAAGTCAACGATGATCGTCAAGTAATTTTGAACATTTTGAATCTGATGTCTTTGTTTGTTTTCATATTATATTAACAAAAGGCTTCAGACACTTTTCAATATAATACTTATAACCTACAGCCTCCCCTTTATCTACATTCAGGACTATTTGATTTAAAGAATATACGAAACAAAGTTTTGATTCAAATCTGTCTCCATGAGCAATAGTCTTTGACGATTTATCTTCAATATGCCAGCTAGCATTAGATGACTTATAACTAACCTATCTAAAATAAATCCATATCGCATCACTAGTAATGTTACAACGCAACTGACATAATCGAACAAAATTTCGCTAAATTTTTAAAACAAATGAAACATGATTAGTTCATACAGTTTTCAAGGTAGCTAAAAAGTTTTTCAGAAAAAGAGTTCAAAAAAAGCTTTTAATTAACTGTTAGAAAAAATTGATCTTGGAATAAATAATACTGGCAACTATGCTAACATTTGAAAAAATAAAATTAAAAATATCTCCTTATCTTTATAGTGTTATTTAATGATGTCAAAACTTTTGGTCAGACCTAAGTATATTAAATCATGAGAAAAACGAACGAAATAAGAACCATTGTTTGGTTCAATGAGCGTAGCTACGAGGAAAATAAAAGTGACTTCTACTGAATTACTTTTAAAGTAATTCAAAACTAGCTTTATTGAAGCCCAAAAGGAAATTTAATAGATGAACAATTCAATAATTATTCCTTCATGTAGTGGTGAGTTAAGCTTGCATTAATTGATGTTTGCACTAAACAAAATCAATATTTTCATCATTCATAACTTGTTTAAGTTGATGATGTTTTTCTGCTATGTAAATATATAATTAGACAAGGAATTCTATAGAACTAACTTCATGCTATAAAGTTAGGTTTTGAGTTGAAAAAGAAAAGAATGAGCCGAATAAAATTTTTGTATCGATTTCAGTTTGGAGTTGTTTCAAACATCTACTTCTATTATGAAATGTTTAAATTAGAAATAACTCATGAACAAATATTTTCGAAATTTATTGCTTTCCCTAATAAATATCTAAAACAGGAAGGAGTATTTTATTATAACACTTTACAGTAGAAGTCATGCTGAAATAAATACTTTCATAAGAAAAGTTACTATAAAGTACCTGTGAGAATCTTTCGTTTTAGTTCAATGTGATTTGTATGCCAAATTTAGTATAATAGTATTGATGCAAGAAAGTACTCGGTACTTATCTGAAGAAAAATCTTAGTATTCTTCGAGAAAAGAACTCCAAATGTTTTGCTATTCTCGAAGAATGAACTATCACCATCTGCAAAAGTAGGATATGATTAAATGTTCAATGTAATTTCTCAACAAAGTTCATCATCGAACATTATTCAACACATCATCAAAATTTTTCTTGCTTTTTAGTTTAGATGTTAAAAAGACGAGATCAATTTTTAAATAAAATCTTATCAAGAACTTTTCCCATCTATCGAAGGACAATCGTCAGATAAGAATATGAAAAGTTGACTGACGAAATATGGTTGTTCCAAACCTTCGTTCTTCACATATCGAAATTTTACTGGATGTTTCAGCATAAAAACACGTAATTCACCTTAAGTCATCTACAAAATAGAATTTCGACTTCAAACTTTGCGTGAACAAAGTTCTTAACGAGATTCGTTAATAAAGAAAAATTTCGATTATTCAATATCTCAGGATAGAAAAAAAGAACTAGAAAAGTTACAACATGCCCAAAGAATTAATCTAATGTTTATGCAAAATTTGATTTCGAAAGTCGATTCATATAACCTGAGTAGGACTACAGATTTCCGTAGAAAAACAACGAAGGTCTGAAAAGCAAAACTATTCTAAACTTTTCTATTACTCATCAAATGAACATCGTCTCAGTCGAAAAGTATATCGTTGTTTCAAATTGAATTTTTGTTCACATTTAGGATTTGTTCATGAAAACTGTTCATCATTTGAATTCTTCGCCATTTATACAATCCATTCAAGAACATAAGTTCGTTGAATATTACCTTTAATTTTTTTCCATTTGATTTCTATACTTTTACAATGAATGTATAAACTGATAAAGCAACCAGTATCTTTATTTTACTCAAAACAGAAAATTTGATATGTTATTATCATTTTTTGTTTCTTTTCGATGATTAATCTACATTTCGGAATAACTTTGAATTTATGATTAAAGACACCATCGACGCTCAATAAATCAAAATCGAATGAAAACATATAAGAAATAATTCATCTATTGTATCTGATATTATGTTTTTGTGAAATATGATCTGAAATGAATGTTGAAATATAAAGTACTTATGTAACTGAAACAATTCTTTATAAGCAGTAGCAGATCCGAAAACTCCAACAGAACTACTTGAATTAAGACCTTCGAAAAAAAATTTTATTTTATAGAGGAAAATAGGGCGTCACTGAACTTTCCATGCATTTCCTTGATCGACTTGCTTTTGATCTACGAAGAGCTCGGAAAACAATTCGATGAAGAAAGTTCATGGAGAGTTTGGAGACGTGTCATTTTGCTCTATCCAATAAAAATATTCTTCAAAACCTTCGAATAGATACAAGAAATATGGTTTTGAACGTCTCGATCTTCTGCAGATCCTCATTCAAGTGGTTTCGTTGAGGTCTTCGAGCCTACTAACCCTGATGAAGAACCCTTTTAGTTGCACATCTCTCTGTTGTATCAGAGACAATGACAGGTTTTATTGATATATGGTCGAAGGTCGTGTCTCAATATCGTCTAGTTAACTACTTCCTGATTACATTTCTGGAGCATCAAGTAAATGAATGGTGAAGAAGTCTCTTCTGAATTAGACTGAATAAAACAATTTCCTGGTCATTAGCAACAGCTGCTACAACGTGTTTCACAATTTGATCCCAGACAAACTTCACTAGCAGTATTATTATTATTTTTTTTTTTGTTTATGAAACATCAAAACCTGATATTCGAAATATTATGATGGTAACTGTTTTACGTTACGTCAACAATGTACCTCATTTGAATATTCTTACTGGAGCTTTATTAAATGCTGATGTTTTCTTGTGCGGTAAAATCAAACAATTTCTTATTCATCTTTTCATTGTTAATGCTAAATTTAAGGTATTGTCAGTTGAAAAATTGCAATACTATATATTTATGGTACTGATGAATATAGTACAGCAACTGAAACAAAAGCATTGTTGGAACCGAAATATATACCACGAGAAACTTGCAATAGATATTTTGATTTACATTAAAAAATTTTTAGACAGTTTCAGTGATAACATTGAATAATTATATTGTGATAATTGTCAACGGTACAGAACTTGTTGACATATTTTGTTCTAATTTTTTTAAATATATTCATGTATTTGAAGTTTTCGGGCAGATCATTATGTAGCTGGTACATGTACAGATGCAACATACAAATTTGTTGATGTTCGTAATGACCAATGTGATAAGTATGGAATATTAATTAATGATGTTGAACATATTGATTTTTCGTCAGACTACTCGAAATTGGTCAGCCTATGATCAATTGATATAGAAAGCATCAATTAGAAGTTTCTATATAAACACCAACAACATGTCGAGAAAACATTACAAAGATAAATGGAACATCGTAGTAAGTGCGGTATTCATTGAATGAGACAACATCCTAGTCCTAAATAATTTATCCAAGACTACGTAGTATAGAGGCGGATTATATTATAATAATCTATAGTTTTAATGACAAGACCACATGGTTTTGTTTCTTTAATTCCATTCTGTTAGACGGATAGATTTTCATCAGAAAAATCACAACCAGCTACAGGTTTTGTATGTTCAAAATGAATATTTTAAACGATTGTTTTGGACGGCGCGAAAATTATAAATACCAAAAATTGTTCATCATTATCTTTTGATTATTCTAGATAAAATAGTCATAAATTTCAAAAATACAAACTTGTACGAACTATTTTAAATAAACGTGAATTCGGTTAATCTTTTTCTTAGTCGTTCTAATTTATCAATCATATTTTGATCACTTCGATTAATATCTTCTTTGTTTAACATCGATTGCAAGCCAGTTCATTTAGTAAGTTCACAAAGTTCTTTTATAAGTAGATGATATTTGCATTGGCCCACATTGACCAACAAGTATCACATGTCGTATTCGACTTTTACGAAATGTATCA